GAGGCCGGAGAACTGGCTCGCGTCACCCCCGGAGGCCCCAGATGGAAAAGAATGTTTCCGTCGATCTGTCTTCATCGATCCTGCATTCCTGTCTGGCCCGTTGCCAGGAGTTGCCACTGGCATACTGGCTCATTGGTCAGCCTGGGCCCGAGGATGTGTCAGGACCTTGAGTTGGGGAACTCAAACTGCATCTGGATGTCAATATGTGTTGCGTCGTTTGTGTTCAGAAGTTTTCCGCGCATTCCCAAGGTCGAAGATAATTATAAGGGTGGAGGCACCTGATATTGCGTTTTTTTTTTTGTGCCCTCCTTCGTGGCAGAAAAATGTGGTTTAGATCGTGATTGCTGTTACAGCTAGTAGGCAAGACTCAACTGATATCCCTCATTATAATTATATGATGTAAGTCATTCAAGTCACCATACAGATTTAAAGTCTTCCATATGTTAAGTCCATGTATCATCACTTCATGTGATATGTGCTACATCTTTGTTTTATCAATAGCCACATCCATCCATATCCATTTTGCACTCGCTGTTATATCTACGTATTGTTGTTATGTTATATCCATGGTTCAACTCATACTTGTAACATTGTAGATACATGAGAGAGATCCGCATGTTACGCCCATGGCCGTTGCTGGTCCGACTTCCTCGAGGCAGCGAGGGCCGAAGCGGCACGCCTCCTCCAGGCTGTGTTGTCGGCGTGTTTATATATATATATATGTATTTTTTGGTTATTGTAGTATCCTTCTTCTCTTGATCCTTTTTTTAAACAACTTTTCCTTCTTTTTTGAAACGCGACTCTTTTTGAAACAGTTTGAAGGTCATTAGTGGATTTTTTTTTTGGCTTTTTCTTTTTTGGATGGCTCAGCTGTTTTAATGATAAATTGAAGGTGGGCATGGGTCATTTTTTACACAGCAAATGGAAATATGAGGGCAAATGAAGATTCCGAACGCGGTATGTATGCATATTGTTGGGGCAGTGGAGGTGTCGAAAAGCCACCCTTTGACTACTTGGGACATCGACGAGACATGAGTGATAGGCACTTTTCCAGTTGGAGGTTTGTACAAGTGCGACATTTGGTCTTTGTCTCGTGGGACATTCCGGCCAGTTTTGAAGTGTCAGGGAATCCGTCAAATCTTACCCTGTAATCAGGCGTTTTTTGCAAGCATCCAGATCATTCAGCTCGGATGGCTTGAAATGTGTGCAAAATCAAAGCGATATCATGATACAATCGGCTAAACCTGGGCGATCACCAATCATACATAGTTTTGGTGGTCTTGGTATAACGGTGCCATTAGCCAGCAACTCTTTGGTTGTTTCAAATCTCGATTTATTCAGTGGGGTTCACCTGACAAATTCACCCACTGCAACACTGCAGCGGTGCCTTAAATGTGATGATCGTCCCAACTGACGAGAATGGTTGACGGAAATTAAGGGTCACCATTTATTGGCAATTTTCATGGGACATATTACTTTTCAAATCCATCGGAATAGGGGATAGCCGATCGTTGGACCAAGCTACAGACTCAACCAAACTATATGAAAAAACTCAACTGGTAAAGCGTCTGGGAAGATAAGCCCCTCTGTTGACCCAATTGTTATAGAAACCGGTCTTTTCTTGGAGAATAGAAACCCGATCGGATTTTCATCGGATAGTTAAGACTTATTAATAGCACCACTTGCCATGCCCCTAACCAACATAGACTGTGAGGCCTCCGCTGGTGGTGCTGAAGCAAGCCGCATGGCTGGCGGCTTTGGTAAATTGATGCCACCGAGGCGCGTTTGAACATGACATCAAACATGACCCTGTGGTGCCATCGAACATGGATGGCTGGGAAATCACTCATCAATGAGATTTTAGATGGTGTGGAAAAAACATCTATAAGTGATGGATTTTACATGGCAATGTTTGATTGCAGAAGGGTGGCCCACCCAATTTCATGGGGAGGAAATCGATGAGCATCCATGGGGTTTGCAGGGCATGATCCTGGCTGCTGAGGCGCGGGTCTGGGGGAGCTCAGTTGGTTTCCTCCAATTTCACCTTAACATTGAAACCCAGCCCTGCCACTTACTTTCAGCAGCCCACATGCTTGAACAAACTGCATGCCAGGAAAAAAGAAAATGTTCATGCTGTGCCCATCAGCATGAAAATCGACGAGAAACAGAAGGGGCCTAACCCAAAAGAAACATCCGCTTTTGAGCCTATCTTGATAATGCACCTTCAAATTAAAAACATCAGTTTCACAATTCTTGTCATTTAAACAAGCTGCCAAAAACAAAAAAACATAGAATAGGTTCCGTTTCAAAACTATGTTTGCCGGCATGCCAAACACATAGAAAAAATAATCATATTTGCCAGTTGTTCACATTCAGAATCTATGCGGCCTTTCGGATCCTTGCGGCGCATACGCGTCGACACTGGGTGGCAAGCAAACTTCAGAAAATCTTGGGTTCAGCTACCAGCCATTACCAGCCCATCTAAGCTTTCATATCCAAAACATACAATGTCCAGATCTCTGGGAGACGGCCATTTGTCCAAGTTGGCAGATTTTAGCAGGATGATTTGGGTCTCAATGCAATCCAGTGCCATTGTCCCCTGTGTCCCCCCCAAAAATAGACTTTGTGGAGTGGCCGCAAGGACGTTCCACCTGCGACTGACCTCCATTGCATCCCCTCAAGTTATTCCTGATGTATCCACCTTTTTTCAACTGCCCTAATTTGGTTCCAAGGAAAAGTTCATGATTGTGTTGATGAATTTTGATACGTACGGAACATGCGGAACCATAAGATCATATGGATCAACAGTATCGCATCATCCCTGGGACCCGGATGTCCTGCTGTCGAAGGCGCTTCGACGCTGAGAACTGGTGTTTTCGCCCTTTCGCCATAGTTTTCACAGGTCGTCGTGGGGGTGTCTTCATATCATCCCCAACTCAACAAGATCACCTTGGAGAAAAACTGCGGAGTTTCAGCTGCTGTTCTCATGTATCTGCTTTTCAACGCTTTAGCATCACTGCTACCTTATCTATATTATTTCAGGGGGGGTCACGTACCAAAATAACTTTTCAGAAATAATTATCAGTTTCATGCAAAAACCATATACTTCTGGCATAGGTCAAACCATGCAAAAAAAAATCTGGGCTTGAATTCATTTTAACGGGGTCCGACCCCATCAAAATAATTTTCCATCGGGGGGTCAGGCGCCAAACAATTATTTCGAAATAATTTTGGTTGAGCCTATCGTAGCATTGCCGTTTTGTGGTGTCAAGAATGTTTGTCCATTGTCCAATGAAACAGCCGAAGCTTCAGTAGCCATTTAATCACCCTCTGCCCTAGTTACACCCCCCTCCCCCCCTACAATAATAAAACATAACTATTTCAATGGGGCTTGACATACATTCGATTCATCGACTTGACCTAGGAACACCTGGAAAAAAATCCATTAACCCCTCCTCAAAATGTCTTTCCCCAGGGGTTCCCTAGAATGATATTATTTCAAAAACATTTTGACCCCCTTTCACATAATTATTTTGCAGGGAGTGCCACATGTCAAGCTTCAACCCCAAGTGTTTCTCCACCCCCCCTTCCACTCCAACTCAATGTTTAAAACATGTTTTGAAAATGAGGGACGCCTTCAGAGAATGCCCCGTCAATATGCATCAGAAATCTCAGAATAACAGAAGGATACCCCTATCAAAAAATCTAGCGACAAAAGGGAATGCGTAGCATTGCGTAGCCTACCGAAACAAAATTGAAGAAAATCACAAAGTACATTATATCAGGAAATCCTGCACAATGTTGGCTTTGCAAATGCGTTTTACTATTTTTTAGGTATGTCTTGTTGTTTTTTAGGATCGATGCGTTGCAAATCCGGAAACGCAAGTAACTTAAACATCATGTTTCATGTGTGCTCCCTCCCAGTCATCTCAGAATTTCCCTTCAATTTAAATCGCGCCAAAAACACATCAAAATTTGCAACCCGCAACCAAAAAACGTTCTGCGAGAAGTTATTTTAGGGGTATTGGAGATCCCCTGCACTCCTCAAAAATCAAAGGGGGCAGCTGCCAGGACCATCTAACTTGCCCAGAAGCTGGAAAGGAACTCAAAAACATATAACGACCGAATGCTTACCATCGTTCTTTGGAGGCAAATGAAAGGAATATGGGAGAAATATGGCGAAATAACGGAAAATATGAAAGGTTAGGAAAACCACTACAGGAAAGAGCCAGGTTGAATACTATTTCGTGGGATTTCTCAAGGGGAGAAATTATTTTAGGGGTATTGAAGATGCCCTGCACTTCTCAAAACACAGCTGCCAGAGCGACCCAACTCGCCCAGAGGCTGCGAAAAATTCAAAAACCTATAAAAAACCGAATGCTTGCCTTTTCCCACTCATTCCCACCGTCTTTTTTGACAGGACATGAAGGGAATATGGGAGAAATAGGGAGAAGTATGAAAAAATAGATAAAAATAGGAAATATGTAGGAAAAATTCAATAATGAAGATAATTATTGAACACCATTTTGCGGGAATTCCCAAGGGGAGAAGGTCTTATAGGTGTTTTTTTTTCTGACCACTTGAAGTGTACATATACGAAATTATTTCAAAACTATATTGACGGGTTGGATTATATTAGGACACAACAAACCATGGCGTGAGGACTCTTGAGAACGGAAGCAGTCAATGAACCAACAGGGGGGGCTTGCTTGTGAGACGACCCGTGGAAACCCCCTCAAAATAATTAGGTGGAAGGACCTTGAAATAATTTCATGGATTTTGGATAATATTTAGGGGGGTCTGTTTCTGGAAATTATTTCCGGGTATCTGCACTTAAGGGTGTGAAATATAGCAAAGGTCAACCCCCGTCTGGAAATAATTTTGGAAATTATATTTAGGGGGGGGCACGGGGGCCCCTAGCTTAGGTAGGGGTGATGTTTTAGTTTTTTTGGATGCCAAATGATGTCATTTAAAACATTCGCGCAAACGTCTAATTTGAGGCATCCGATGGCCTTCACATGTCTTCGCAGAACTTGTTGCAGGGCAATCGCGTGAATGCAATGCAGTCCAGTCTTTCGCTGCAGCCGAAGGGACTCTGTTGGCTCAAGTCATCCTTGCAGTTTACCGGCTTAAAATTTGGCTCCAGAGGCGTCCTGGCCGATGTGGCTTTTGAGTTTTTCGCTGACTCGAACATAGATCAGTGGATCAAACATGTCTTATTCCAGTTGTTTTCCTTTCGATTGCAGTGCAAACAGTTTTGAAGTGAACAAAATCCCGGACCTCCACGATGGCCCAACTCCCGGGCAACCAAAGTGAAACGTTGATGAACAAGTGCCCAATCAAAATGTGTTCCACTAAGAGTTACTGAATTACACTGTTTTTCTTGTATGCAACTGACTGGCTCGAATGTGCTGAAGTGATTTGAAGGCTCTGTTACGGGCTGTTGAAGGAACTTTTGCTCTTGGGCCGAGCTTGGCCGGGCCGAGGCATGGGCTTCGCCGCCAAGTCGCTCCTTTTTCTGGGCAGCCTTCGCCTCGCAGTGTCTCTCGCTCCAGGCGACTGCGCTTTCGTGGCTTGGAGAAATGACAGGGAACTCCGAACACAAAAAGTGTCACTAAACAAAGGTTCCAGACATTTCCAGAGAATCTCCACTTGTACTGCAGAGCAACATGTCATAATTTATAACCGTCTACAGTAAATTAATATATATATATATACGTATATATAATATAATATAATATAATATAATATAATATAATATAATATAATATAATATAATATAATATATAATATAATATAATAGACTAGACTAGAATAGAATAGAATAGAATATATAATAGAATAGAATAGAATATATAATGGAATAGAATAGAATATATAATAGAATAGAATAGAATATATAATATAATAGAATAGAATATATATAATAGAATAGAATATATAATATAATATAATATAATATAATATAATATAATATAATATAATATAATATAATATAATATAATATATACGTATATATATATAATATAATATAAAATAATATAATATATACGTATATATATATATATAATATAATATAATATAATATAATATGATATAATATAATATAACATAACATAACATAACATAATATAATATAATATAATATAATATAATATAATATATATAATAATATATATTAATATATAAATAATAATAATAATAATAACAATAATAATAATAATAATAATGATATATATATATATATGACAAAAGGCGCACAAATGTTCTTCATAACCCGTGGGGATGCACAGTCCCAGGTGATCCCCATGGACTTGTTGGCCAATTGTTGCAACACATGCCACATTTCACCAGGAATGCTGCAGTGTTTTGTTTTTTTCTTTTCATGCACGCTCCAATTCAAGGTCCATGTCTGGGTCCCACCCAGCTTCAAGCGGCTCGCTCGGCTGAGGTTGGAATCTATGGTGACCAAGATGACTTTGCCTTGGTTCTCCTGGAAGATGCCGATGGAGAGACCATCCAACTGACGGAGGACTCGGGATGAAACAAGAAACAGAAACCAATTCAGTGAGTCGCGGGTGGAAATGCAACATGTTAAACACCATGTGGGAGTTACCTAAAAATAGGACTACCCCAAATCATCCATGTCATTAGACCATTCTATCTGAAACCGGCTGTGACTTGAGGAAAACTCCATGTCTTCCATGTGTCCTCGTCATGTCGCCTTCGGTACTGTGAAGCGCTAGGAACTTCCTCAGAATGGTCACTTGGAGGTGAAGAGGCCCGCAGCGGCCAAGGAGAAAGTCGGCGATGCAAAGCGTGGAAACTGGACAAAAAGAAGAGGATTTTGATGCCTGAGTTTCTGTAGGATAACATCCCTGTCAGAGGTTTAAGTGCCTGGAAAACGATTTTTCGTAGATTTTTGTGTCTCAATGCCGAAATTTGGACACTCAGGAACAGTCTTGAAGAGAGCTGACTTCCACGTGGATTCTACGCACCTTGGTGCATTTGCGGAGAGCTAGTCCTGGAATGTCCTGGATAGGACATGTCTTAAAATCAGGTTTAGTGACCACGGATTCTCATGCTTCCTGTATTTTTTTTCTGATTTGTACATTGATGGTGTCACAAGTGCAGTTACAATTATCACAAATCGTGTTCAGAAAGATGCTCGCAGCTGCTTGCAGGTCGTTTGTGGCACCTCTGGGTCTCACAGCTTTCACTGGCTCTGACGAGTCTCCCACGGTGCTTTGCAGCATCAACCTGGATCACTCAGTTCGAAAGCTTGAGGAGAGCTACACAGTGAATCTGGGTGCAACGGATTTCGCGGAATATATCGGAGAAGGGACTGGTAGCAAGGAACAGTTGCAGGAGGACATCATGAACACCCAAAATTGGCATCACGATCAGACGCGAAGACTTGGTGGATTCACCATTGCAAGCAACGTGACTGTGACCGAGACCACCACGATGGTTGTGAACACCACTACTGCCTCCATGACCATGACAACAACGATGACAACCACCCTGACTGTCATTGAAGGCATCGAAACCAAAGCCACTCGGTGAATCTTGAGCTCCTCAGGACTCAGTTGAAACATGATGAACAGGTAGGACTAAAACTGACTAAAACTATTTCAACAAAACCTGTGCAAGCTTTGATTGATTGCTACCTGTTAAGGTGGAAGGCTGCATGGAAGTCAGTGTTAGCGACTTTGGCCTCTTGGATGGTTCCGATGCTGCCAAAGATGCACTAAGAGAGTCAATCGCAGCTGCTGCGGCAACCGACGTGGACTATGTGCAGGCAGCCGATCCACTTTTATTTGCATTAGTTTTTCATTTTTAGCCTGCCTTCATTTGTAATGATGTGAAGTCAGCCACTTCTCTGTGGTACTGTGAAGTGACAGATACTTCAGAACCAAATCCCACCCTGCACACAGAACCTGACGATCATGGTTGGCAACTGTGGAGCACGTCGCCAACGACGTGTCCGGCGATTGCAGACCGCTGTCTCTATCAACTTCGTCATCCTCTTCCCCCCATCCTTGGGCGCCTAGCCTTGATCCAAGTTGAGTCTTGCAAAAACATGCAAAAACATACTGGTAAGGATGAGGCTTTGTTCAGGAGATTGGCATTGTATGGTTTCAACAAACATTGAACAAAAATCTAAAGCGATCTCAACATATCTCAAATAGGCATCAACAGAACAATTGTTCATGAACCAACCGTTGTCCGTGGGTACCTCCACAGGTGCTCAAGCAACCGTGCAAGCAGCTGCCGCCGTGGCCGCCATCCAGGGGGTGAGCACAACTGAATTCACCACTGTCATCGTTTCTTGGGATGGCTGGATGGATGGATAGATCCATTCATCTATATTCATCATCTATACATACATACTGTATATATAATGATCAATTATGTATATTTTGATATTTATTGTACCTATTTGATTGATTTAATTTAGTTCATTGATCTTCTGGACAAGAGGACGGTAGACAATAGAGTAGCATGATGCACGGATGTTTAGAAAACGTTTCCGCCAAGGCTACGAAGATTGCCGCGATCCCTGAACTGGCTAGTACCCTCACAATTACGGTCCAATCTGTGCCTTGCCCTTGTGTCAGTTCCCGTCGAAGAGGTTTGGGAATCTTATGGAATCTTACATCTTGAAGATAGGGGGTTTGTTCATGTTCAATGACACAATTCATTTACGATCTGCTTGACCATTTTTCTATGGTTTGCTTTCATTTGATTTTTGGTAGATCCGCTTCAAATCAATCCTCTTTGTCGGAGTTCGACAAGCCTTGCACCATCGGTTGATGGCGCAAGAATTCCATGCTTTTCATTTCAGTGCCATTTCAATGGCTATTACAATGATTCCGACAGAGTAGACACCTTTCATCCACTGATAGGCACTGCACAATTCAGCATTTTGATCACTTCTCAAAGCTCACCCAAAACTACCCAAAGTTGCACTTCGGATCTGAGGTGCCATCGGCATCAGTGGAGTTTGGTGATGAGAGCGGTATTACCAAGGCCAACGGATGCGTAGAGTTTCTTGGCCCGATACTGTAGCATTTTGAGGGCAGTCAATGACCCTTTCCATCACACAACACCTCCTAATTGTCTCTAATGTTGAGAAGACATAGAGAATCTCCGAATGGAGCAAGGCCAAATGACACATTCAAAAATAAAGGCATTTAGCTCTTCCATGGAGGAGTCTCGGAGGAGTAGGAGTGATAATAGATCCATTCAGGGGAAAAGAGCGTTGGAGCAATCTGCCGCATGAGCTTGGAACTGTGTCAATTCAGAGGTTCCATTATGTGAAACCAGGCTGTGTTGCTTTCCCTTTGATTTCGCCATTTTCGATTCTATATCCTTTCAGCTCTTTCGTTCGCTTTCATGAATTTCAGAGCTGTGAGATTTCTTTGTTCGTTGAACCCAAGCCACATGGACCAAAAGTTCGCAGAGGCTGCCTTTGTGATCCTTGTGCATCTTTGTGCGACAGGTTCTACACCAACGACTATGCCACCTTGTCCGGGTTTGCAACCGTCAACGCCGAATGGACCAGAGTGACTTGCACCTTGAGGATCTCCCCGACAAGAATCAAGTCATGGTGCTGTTCAGATTCCTATGGGTTTGTAGATGTTTGTAGTATCACATGGTGCCAATGGTGCCAGGCCAGGAGCAATTCCAAGTCAGTGAAACGATTGGCAAGCAGGTTTTGGTTTGGTGGTTGTCCCGGTGTTGACTTTTTATCAGTGTTTAAAAGACTTTAAGTCATGACGCCCTCATCAACTCTTCCAGTCTACTTGGTGATCCAGGGAAGATTATAAGGTCGATTAGCGTAATTATATATATATATATTCTGAAAATTTCTGAAATAGGGTTAAGGTGGTGGCAATGGTGGTACAGACCAAGACCGTGCAGTGTGGTGCCAAGACCGATATCTACCGTAAAATCAATATCGGTTCTATTCCAGATTCATGTTGCATAGCCATATTTCAGCGATAGATAGCTGCCCGAAGCTAAGCTCTTCACAGAGAAGCAAAGGTTAACCGATGATTGCGGTCCTAGCCCTAGTCAGCCGTAGTAATTAATCGTCGCTGCTGTGGTAGTGGTTGTTGCACATTGAAGGGACTGGCAAGCTGTTGCATCTCTAAGATGATCTAAGATCTATGCTTCTCTCTTCGTGGTGCCGGAGTTGTACATTGACAACGTCCAGATGCAGAGCGGAGCTTGCACTTTCAACAGGCGCTTGGCAGACCGCCGCCTGTCGGAGCTGGGGTGTGTGAAATGGCGAGTTGCCTGGGCTCCTTCCCGGTACGGTGGCTTGGTCGCACTTGTCGCACCTGGGCATCCATACCTGTGGCTTCCCTTGTTACCCTTGTTGCTGATATCAGACCCATGTTGGATGTCGGTGTAGAACCGAGGCAGGGCAAGTTTGCTGCAACTTATTGTATGCACACGGGCATGGCGCACTGTGCATTTGTGGACATTTATTTGTGGACATTTGTTGACATTTGTGGACATTTAGATCGAAATTTTGCTGTCAACTGCCACATACCGTTGGAATCCATTGGAGTCATCAGAGTCAATCGTTGGAGATTCTGTGAAACTTTATGTTTTCTTGTGGCCAGGTGGCATTGATGGAGCCTATGCAGCTGCACAAGCAAACATCACAGACCTCGTCAGCATCGACCTTGCCACGCTGAGCGCAACCATCACCACCGAAATCCAGACGAACACTGATCTTACAAATGTCACCATCGACACTTGGCCAAATGTCATTGAGCATATCTCAAGATTATTTGCGAATTTGCGGTATACAGTACATGATCATACATGATATATACAGTATATATATGTATGTATATGCGAAAGGGAACTAGGTAATACAACCATTGCACATGCTGAGCATGTAGACAGTTATGCATGGACTGCCAATCACTTGGCTCAAGTCATGCGCGAGGAAAAAGACCGTTCTCCGAACGCCATGCAGTGACATAGCCCTGCACTACCAGCACAACCGGTACTACCATCAAAAGGGATAATCCAGGACAAGGATCAAATTGTTCACAGGTTATCAGCCGTAGGGCTTACTTCTCCCGCCGGGAGAGTGGTACCTGCGTGCTGGTAGCCGGGCCGTCTGAGCAATTGATTGAGGACGCAAAGGACCAATCAGCTCATCGTCGCAAAGATGCAAGGCGGCGGAGATTCGCGCACCACGCAGTTTACCTTCAATGAGAACGCTGCTATGCCGGTCGAGGAGGTCAATCAATCTTCCCCTGGCGACACGGCAGACAGTGGCGGGATACGCTCTACCCGAACTACACAGTCCGGATGGCAAGTCACATCAAACAGACGAAGAATATCTACCCAAAGTACACCTAGATCTTCTCGAAACAGTGCTCGGAGTGATGTTGTCCGCCAAGGGCATCGACCATCTCGAGGACGTACTACTCCAAGGGACAGATCCACCAGGGCCGTGACCGACCGAATTGGTGAGAGGACCGGGGATAGTCGTGTTAAGAGGAGATCAACGGATACTTCTGTGGCTAGTGAACCTATTGCCATGATAGAAGAACTACGGGCACAATGTCAATCCCTACGTAATCAGCTGAACAACATGGAAGCATACGCTGCATCTAGGGATCAACTGATTCATGACATCGAGATCAGATTTACTGAGTATCTTCGGGAACACAACCAGAATGTATTTGATGAGGTCAATGCACTCAATCATAGATTGTCATGTTCCGCAAATGAGGTTGCAGAATATCAAGCAGAACTAATGGTAGCATCTCAGGAAGACGAAGGTGCAACAATACGCATCCAAGACCTTGAACGCCGAGGTGCCCTAATGGAACATGGTGCACGACGAATCCATCAACGTGGTATGGAGATCCAGGAGGAGTACAAGGATGAAGTACATCACCTTCAAGGACTACTGGGTAATACGGAGGCAAGACTGCAACAACTTCATCAAACCAATGTCTTAACCACCGATATTGCCAATCGACTATACAATGAAGGTCAAGAAATGCAAACAGATTTCCAGAACTCAATCATGGAATATCGTAATCGGTCCGAAATGGCATCCTTCTCTAGCAACCAACTTGAAGTGATTAGCCAACAACAATCAATTGCAGTTCATGAATTATCTGAACGGAATCAGCTATTGAGTGAAGCTTTGGTTCAGTCTCGTAAACAGGCCGAGCTGTATGAGAGCAGTATCGACGAGATCACTAGAGAATCTAGGAAGAAGGTGTTCGAGGCAAATCAGGCCAAATTGGAAAGTGATCTGAAGCATCGAAACACTGAACATGATACCGTCAGAAGAATTGCATCATACAGAAACCAAGAGGCCGAAGCAATATCACACCTGAGGCTTGAATCACAGGCTAGTGCAAACTCGATCGCAAGGGCAGAGCACTATGAGGAGCTCTATGCCAACGAGCAGAAGATGAACTGCGAATTAAAGGATGAGATCAAGTTGCAGAACACGAAGTTACGAAGATCGTTGACTCAGGATCCTACGACCGACGGTCGTGGCCCCGATGAGATGCTTGTTGAAGATCTACGTAATCAAGCTAAAATCGCTCAAATCAGGGTTCAGGATCTAGATCATGAAGTTCACGAATGTTTACAAGAGAACTTATTGTTAAAAGAAAGGTTGGCTGAAGTTGCGGGTGTAGGGGCGTCGTCCCTCACCAATGCTGAGGTCCGAACTCTAAAATCTGAACTAGAGAGTGAGCGCAAAATGAAGTTGGCTAGTGGTGTTCAGCAATATGAGAGATCATGCATGTTCATGGGGGAAATACAGGATAGGGATGAAAAGATCGGTATCAAGAATTCTGAGATTACGGACATGAAACGTCACTTAGATGAACTGAGAAAGAGTCTCAAGGATTCTGAAACATCCATATCTAGGGTCAGCCCTGACACACTTCCCTATTCGGCAGGCATTCCCAACTACGATCTCGCATCAAGACTAGTCATCGACAAACTGGAGAATGACGTGAGTGAGGCTAACTGTGAAAACGCTATTCTGAAATCTTGGGTTTCGCAGATCGATAAGGAGTTAAACTATGAAACAAATGTGGCTCATTCCTATCGTGAACATGCTGTACCTCCTCAACGACAACCTTCTCAATCAAGCAAAAGAATCACTGATCTGCTGAAAGAGGTGGACAACAAGATCGCTGATGGAACTGAGAGGGACTACTACAAGCCACCGAGTGGATGGGGCGGTCCGCCTGACCCTGATGGACCTCCGGACCCTTTTGGGCCTAACGGTCCAGGACCACCTCCTGAGCCTCCAGGTTTGCCTTCAGTTCGAGGATCACAACGCGATTCAGCAGATGATGTCTCCACAGCAGCTTACACTGCAGAAGAAGTGCCAAGAATGTCAAGACGGGAGGCTGACAAAGTCTATGTTAGCCCATGGCCGAAACAACAGAATCTTGGGGTTTGGCAATCAGATCTCATCAAGAGTGTTGTTCTTTCTGCAAATGATGGGGACAAGGCCGCACGGGAAGCATGGCTACAGCCGGCTATTCGACCAAATCCTGACATCGAACTATTAAATGACAGTGGAGGGCAACGGTATCAGTCAATCGACGCCAAGTTGTCAATTGCATTGTCAAATGTGATAGCCCAAGCCGGTGATGTTGCTCGTCATGTAGCGATCAAATTGAGATTGAGGACACAAAGTCATAGTCGAAGAGGAACCTATGTCATGGGACGGGAAATCTTGGCTATGATCCTGGAGCACTTCAGAACCCCAGGTCAACGAGAGACATCCTTCACTATGGAGCACATCGTATCAATGAAGTATCTCGGTGACTCAAACCTGGAAGTGTTCTATGAGAAATGGATGGAGATGGTATCAAACATGATGCCGGATGATGTACCTCCTGATGATTGGCTTCGTGATGCTCTATACAAGAAGATTCGAAATTCGAGTCTTATGATGTTTGACATCAAGCAGTACGAGTCATGGATTGAAGGAGACCAAAGACGAAACTATCGCTATCTATTGGACGTCATCGAAAGGCACATCTCCAGAATCAGAGAGGACAAGCATGTGGCCGCTAGAGAGAAGTATGCAAGAGACTTTGCAGGTGGCGGCAAACCTTCAGCTCCTGCCCCAAATCCAACTGCTGCTGCACCGGATGCAAATCCAAAAGCGAAGCCTAAAGCTACTCCCAAGGAGAAGGCAGCACCCAAGGCGAAGGCCAAGGCCGATGCAGCTCCAGTTCTACCATCACCTCAGCCTAAACAGCATGCGAAAGGAAAAGGAAAAGGTCAAGGGAAAGGAAAGGATCGAGCAAACAGCCGAAGTACCAGCCCTAGATCCAAGAAGAAAATCCCATGCCATTTCCATTTCATCAAGAAAGCATGCAGAAAAGGCAAAGATTGCGAATACAGTCACGACCAAAAGGTGTTTGATGCGAACAAAAACGCAAAAGGCAATGGTCGGAAGCCAGGAACTCCAAGAAGTCAATCTCCGGCAAACAAGACCAAGAAGATTGATGAACCATGCTGGCATTGGGCTAAGGGCAAGTGTCGGTATGGAGACAAATGCAACAAACGCCATGATCCTCATCTATTCAATACTGCTCCAAACACCGAAGCACCAAGCTCAAAGGCTACTCCTGCACTTATCCATGATTGGAGTGATGACGAGGGGACGTTCCAGAAGGTTGCATCGAACGTGATCAAGAAGAAGGTCAGATTCGATGAGTCTAAGACCCAAGTTCAAACTTACGTGAAGAAGGACTTCGTGAAGTGCAGCCGGAAATCCCAAACCATCCCCAAAGGTCATGGTAAAGTTGGTAAGCCCACTGATCAGATAAGGAAAGATGAGCAATGGTCTTATTCATGCAGGTTAGCTTCGAGCCGAGGGAAAGCAATGGCTATTCTGATCGATGAGAAGGGTGAATACAGTGACATTGATGAAGTCCTGGTCATTGTCGGCCCTAGCATGGACATTCTGATCAGACTCGACATCGAGGACGATGAGGTGTCCAGGGAAGTCTTTGTGGAGAACTATGTTCAGCATATTGAAGGTCGATATGGCAAAAGGGGCAACACAATGTGTATCACTGTTCCTGTTGAGGAGAGAGATAAGAGATTCATATTGGATTCTGGAAGTGGTCATGATCTCATTTCATCCACACGAATAAGTAGGATGGATCTACCAACATACGATGACAAGGTCGTTAACTTCCATACAGCAAATGGGGTAACACGTTCGACCAAACGTTCAAACATCAAGTTCGAGGCATTCAGCGAACCAGCAGAAGCACACATCCTGGAAGATACACCTTCCGTGCTCTCGATGGGAAAGCGGTGCGTCGACCTTGGCTATTCATTTGTATGGCCGACAGGACGAACTCCATTCATGTTAGATCCCAATGGCAACATCATCGAAATGACCGTCAAAGACTACATTCCCTATGTGAGCGTCGATCAAGAGAAGAGAAAGTTGAGATCATCCTGTGTGGAAAAGATTATGGCAGTTCTTGATGACGGGTGCTCAACGTCAGAAGGCGAAGGTCTTTTGGTCATCGATGGAGAAAGTGGGGATGAGCTTGAGGATCTTTCCGACTCCGTTGGACGATCCGATGTTAAATCTCCCAAAAGATCAATGAAGAAGCGTAAGAAAGCAAAATTAAGAGGTGATCAACATGAAGTGGCTGTTGGAAGTGATGCCGGTGATGCTGAGGAAATGTCGTGCTATGCCGATGAATATGCCGAGTTTGAGGACGACGGATACGATCCCAGCATCGCACCTGATGATATCCGTGAAGATCATCAAATTGAAGTTGAAGAAATTCCTGA